TTTTTGGTTTTTCTCCGGTACCGGGAACCGAACTCACGACCTTGCGCTTGCCAGGCAGGCGCTTTTGCCGCTGAGCTAAATCCCCAGCCCCCTTGCTTCTTTGTTAAGCCACCAGTGTGAGCCCCTTTCTCACACTTCAGGTGAAAGAAGGCAGCATAATGGAGGCTGAATCATCACAATGCCGCCACAGTGTGATCCTTAGTCAGCAGGGGCCGACTCCCACCTGGCCCTGCAGTCACCGCGCCTCTGACTGCTGATTGTGAAGGAGGGGATTAGGGCTGGGGCAAAGCTGGTCAAGCAAGTGGGCTTAGTCTGTCAAAGCCATGAGACCCACGGCGCATGCACAGAACATAAAACCCAAGATGACTCTGGAGTTCCCGCACACCTTACTAGGACCCAATCAGAAAAGTGTTTTTTTGTTTTGTTTTAGACAGGGTCTCGCTTATGCAGTTTAGGTTGGCCTTGGACTTACTTTGTAGCCCAAGTTGGCCTCTAACTCACAGCAACCCTCCTGCCTCAGCCTCCTGAGTGCTGGGAATACATGTGTGCACCACATACCTGGCTTAGAAAAGTGTTATCTTCAATTCTTCATTTACTTCTGATGCGAAACCAAGTGAGTTTTCCATAGGACAGTTTAAATCTGGCCCAGGTCAAGTGAGTTTTTGATGGGACAGCAGTCCCAGATGTGCATGAGGGAGAAGGCTCTCTAGGGATTCCAGATGTGAAAGATTCCCCTCCACTATTCCCATAGTCGCAGTGAGGCTTTTCCCCAGCCCACTCTCACTTTGCAGAGCATGCTTTTTTCCTACCTTCAATACATGTACTTCCCCATTACCCTCTCCGTATGTCTTGTCCAATTCTTTGTTCAGGACAAGAAGAATCTGGAAAGAATCTCTTTGGGACCCATAAGCCAGTAACAAACAGAGTCTAGAAATATCTTGCAAATGTGGCATCCTCCCTAGGGGGCCGACAAATGGTCCGCTAAGCCTTCTCCATGCACGTTAGCATTCAGTAAGGCAAAGTTCCCTTCAGGAACATGTTTAAGAACATGTTCTGTCTTGGCCTTTTCAGATTGTGGAAAATGTGGAACAAATTTACTGTTGTAAGTGTTGTATTTACACAGCATCGATCGGTCAGTTGGGGAATCACAGTTCAAAGGAAGCAAAAGGAAAGAAAGAAAACTGTATGATCGGAGCAGCTGGGGAAGGGATGCTACTGCCGTGACTGTGCAGGATGGGAGGCGCTGCGTCCTGGATTTACAGTTCCTTTTCAGAAGTTAGGCTCAGCGGTGTGCACAGACGTGGGACCATAACCGTTTCACCGCTGTGGGTGACTCGGAAGCCACATCACAACCTTGTGGCACCCAGAGGCCTTCAACTGGTATTATGCTGTAAACATCTGGAAATTTTGACCAAGGAAGATCTTGAATTTATGAAATGAGTAGTCGTGGAATTCAGGTCAGTTTGGAGTACATATCCACCCAGCTCCTTCCTTTACTCTGTTTTCAGGTATCACTTATGGACCAAGTTGTTTCCACCAGTTCCAGCACCAAAAAGTAACATCAAAGATCTCATTGTGACCACTAACTGCGAGGTAATACTGCAAGTTCCCGGGAGATGTCCTGAGATCCCTGGGAACTGTCTTTGATTCTTGGTTTTCTCTCTTATAAAGCAGGGATTTTCCCAGGAGGCCAGGAGCCTATTACTTCACTTAATTAGTCAAATTTTCATTTTCATTTCCTGTCAGCCATATTTTTTTCTTTTCTTTCTTTTTTTGTTTTTTTTGCTTTGCTTTTTTGAGACAGGGCCTTCCTTTGCAATTCAGGCTGCCCTGAACTCTTGGCAATCGTCCTGCCTCAGCCTCCCAAATGCTGGGATTACAGGCTTGTGCCATGAAGCCCAGTTCTTTCAGGCATCTTTTAAGAGAACTTAGACAATTCCAACCCTGTGAACCTCAACTTCCTTTTTTGTATATAGTAAGAGGCACAGATGAAATTGTCCAGTGTTCCACTGAACTCTAGTGCTTTAGGATTCCATGTTCCTGTAAGTCCATAAACAATTTTCAAGGCAACTTTACTGTGTGAGTGAAGAAATGAACAGTAGTAAAAGTGCAGAGAAAGCATTACGGTTTCTATCCAGATGCTCCCCCACCCCCACGCCTCACACAGTCACAGCCCAGGCTTTGAGGAGGTAACAGGATCATGGGGCTGCCAGCTGCCAGCTGTTAGAGAGGGGTCTGTCTGAAGCGGTGGGTCAGTGGGGCCATGGCCTGCGGGGTTTATCCTCCTCCCTGCTCTTCCTCGGATCTTATTCTGTCCCTTTCGTGTCTTACCCTGAGCAGCTCTCCCCGGCCACACCCCTCGGCCACACCCACTGGCCACACTGCTGTCTTGCTTTGGAGCCAGACAACTGTGACCTGAAGCTGCTACAAACTGTGAGCCAAGATAAACTGCTCCTCCTAAGATTTCAAGGATCTTTTCCCCCACCAACCAGGGCAGTAACTAAGACAGAAAGACCATGCTTTCCCTGAATATGAATTTCCAGCGTCTCCTCACCGTTCCGAGCACACAGGGTTAGCTGGTCACTTACTTGTGGCTGTCCAATCTTCCCAGCGTCCCTACTGAAAACACTCTCCTTTCTGCGGGGGAACTGTCCTGACATCTTCGTCAGAAAGCAGTTGTTTGCGTACGTGCGGGTCTATTTCTACACTATCACTTTATTTTCTTTGGTTCATCAGTCTATCTTCATTGCAAAACAATACTACTGTGATTACTGTAGCTTTATTGTAAACTCTGAGACCAGGTACGGTAAGATCTCCAAAAACGACTTTTTTCCCTAAAGTTGTTTTAGTTATCCTAGCCTATCCCATTGTCATAAAAATTTTAGAGCCAGCTTACCATTTTTTACAAAACACCTGGAATTGCAAGTTATATTGTATTATAATATGAATTAACACAAGGAAAAGCAACATTTGAGTTTTCCAACCTGTGAAAATGGCGTGTATCTTATTTAGGTTTTCTTTAATTTCTGTCAGCAGTGTTGGTGATTTTCAGTCAATAGTTACTAAACTTCATCAAATTCATCCTTAAGTTGCATTGTTATGTCTCAGGTCAACAAACTTTTTCTCCAAAAATCCAGATAATAAGTAGTTGAAGGCCAAAGAGTTTATTTTTCAACTTTGTCCTTTATCATTGCAGTGTCAAGAGCATTCACAGAAAATGTGCTAAGAAATTAGCATGGCTGTTCCCAATAAAACTTTATTTACAAAAACAGAAACCAAGCCAGATCTGGCTATAGTTTGTTGATCCCTGATTTAGAACAAGCAATTTTCTTAACAAATTCAGATTCCTCTCTAATAAAGTAATACAAATCAATGGACCATAGGGTGACAGGTCATAGGAAAAAGGGAAGGGATGATGAAAAAACTCACCAAAATGGCAAAATTTCAATAACCTGTGGCCTTTCTTTAGAGTTCTGCAGTTTTGTATTTGTAATCATTTTCAGAAAAGTTACTAAGCTGTTAAAGAAGAGAATTGTTAAAGAAGAGGCTGAGAAAAGTCACTCTGTCCCTGGCTCGATCCTTCTGTTTTCATTTACCAGGGGAGTGGCCCACCTGTTTTGTTCACCCACAGGTCTTTGGGAAGGAGAGTGCGCCCCATGCGAAACTTTGGGTGGGTTCCTCAGAATGTGTGCTGCCTGTCTTTCTTTGCTACAGAACACAGCACACACTGGATTTAAAGATCAGCTTGACATCACTTGTCCTGGTCTGTTGATGGAACATCTTGATGCTGTTATCTAATTTCCTTATAGAGCCCTAAAAGATTTCCTTTCCTATTCTGGGGTTGGAGAAAGAAACTGGCTTGAAAACTTACCATTTAAGCTTGAGGTCTGCTGTTAATTAAAATTAAGTCATGTGTGCAAAATAACAACCTAGAGTAGATGGGCTGGTTTAGCAAAAGATTAATATCAAAGCTTAGGAGGGGCTGAGTTCTCAGGACAACTTATTCTCTTCGCATATAAAGTTTCCAATAAAAATGGGGGGTAGACACAGAGAGGCAGACAGAGAGAAAGAGAGAGAGAGGGGACTTAGAGAAAGAGAGGAATTAAAAACAACTTTAAAAAATTCAAAGAGATGAGATGTTTGCTGAGAGATATCTAATGGGAGACATTTTGTTTTGCAGAAAGCTGTTTCCAGTGAAACAGAAATTGAAGGTATAACTTATGTAGAAGAGCCTTTATTTGAAATCACGGAAAGTTCTGTGTTTTGATTGTCACTGTGGCACTCTCCGGTGAACTCACATACGTACCAGTGAGAAGAACTATGATTTCCTGGCTAAGAGGTGTTTATAATTCATGGAACTCAATTAGTCTGCAAGGGAATATATTCAGACATATGCCATGTTTCTCCTTCTGTTTCTCCTTGCTGAAGAATGCTTGATAAAGCATGTGAATGCTTCATCAAAAGTCTCCTTGCTCCCATCGAAGTGACTGAAAAATATTTGCCCATGGGATTTCTCCTCATGCTCTATAGGACAGCACCTCCTCACGTCTTACCTCAGACTTTCTGGCACAAGAGACAGTTTCTAAGGGTAATGTGAAGTGTGCTTACTTCTGGCAGTGCCAGTTTGGCTATTTGCCCTGCCACTGTACACCACCTTGCAGGTATTTGGAATTCAACAACATTTAGCAGAAATCAAGGCCTTCAATATCACAGAGAAGATGACAGGTTTTCTTGAGAATGCAAATGGAAGTAACTAGGAGACCTGTGTGTCTGGTGACAAGGCTGCCATGACCTGGATCTCATCACAGCAAATTAGAGAATGTGAACATTCATTTAATGATAAATACCATCATCTGCGACTGACGTAAGCCGGGCTCATGTAAGTTGGCTCCCACCAGCAAAGATTGGAGAGGTTTTCCTTTTGGAGCCTTCCCAGACACAGGATCTAAAACAAATACTCGCTTTCCAAGACATCCTTTGCAACAAGGGATTTAGCCTCATCTCTTTCTTTGTGTCTTGGAATTTGCTGTGTGCAGCAGAGAGACAGTGCGGGTGAAGTTCATGTCTGCCAACAGCTTGGCCACCTGAGCCTCACTGAAATACTTCAGGCCTCAAGTTATTTATGCAAGGCTGGGGAAGAATTTGCATGGGCAAAAAACATCCTGATTAAAAATCCAAACATTTTCATGGTGAGACTTGTATGTGTCAGGACCATCTGTTGGTGGAATTAATAAACCCTAGGTGCTAAAGAAAAAGTAGATCTCTGGAAGCAAGAACAGTTCACTGAAAACAATCTTTGATGGCACAAGTAAAGATGAAAAACCTAATTAGACCAGGACTTAATGTTAGCCTAAGGATCTTCGCGACAATGACTGTGTAGCTATTTCTGCTTCCATATCTCATAAATTGAATTCCAGAGTGCAAACTTTTTGCAAACCCCTTTTCTTTGGAATTTGATATCAAATTAAAAGACAATCCTGTATTTTCTCAGTGTCCTTCTGTTTTAGGTAATAGATGTGTCTGTAAATGTGGTTCAGAATGAGATATGTTTAACATAAATGACAGCGGTTGGTCTAAATCTGTAAATTGAGGAGAGGTCTATTCCTTATTTTATTCCCTACACTTTTCTTTTCTCTGTCCCCACTATTCATGTCATGATCTCTCTGGTAGAATTATTGCCAACAGACTCTGAACTGACATCCAGGCTTCTAGGATTTTCTCTGTTAAAGGCATAACTGCCTGGATTACGCTGTCTAGAACACTCATGGAATGCCTCACCACCTTCAAATTAAAGCTCTTAAGAAAAAAATACACTTTGGCTTGGCTTCTCAGTAGCTCTGCAGCCACAATCCCCACAAACACCACCTAGCGCTACACTGTTTCTCTGCGAGCCCCATACAGTCTCCTCTCCCAGTGATTCTACTTTAGGCTTCAATGGAAAAAAGACTTTTCAACCCGTTTTCATCTTGTCAACACTTTGCTCTTTGCCATGGAAAAATCTTCCCTCAATTTCCACTTTGAACTAAGGAACCCTCTCTGTTCCCTGGGTACCTTTTTTTTTTGGTCTTTGCTTTTGAGACAGAGTCTCACCATGTAGCCCAGGCTGGCCTTGAACTTGTAGCAATCCTCCTGCCTCAGCCTCCCGAGCGATTACAGGTATGCACCACCACGCCCAGCTCACCTTCTTTCTAATTCTATTACTACATTCCCCAAAACATTTTCATCTTATTCAAAGGGTAAACACTCCAAAATCAAGGACATTGTCTTATTTACCTTTCTGTCTGCGAACACTAAGAACTCACTTGCGGGTTGAATTTAGATGGGACAAAGGAAAGGGAAGTTTCTTAAATGAACCAGATTACAAAACAAAAGTTGGCTTAGACATTACAGAACTCTAATAGCAGACTCACTCATTCAAGCTGTATGGTTACGGCAGAATTAAACCATCATTGGCCCTTCAAATAATGAAAAAAATAACTCATGACAGTCATCTTGTAGTTCACTTCACAAATACCTGCCCTTACCTCGGCAGCCCAAGATCACGCAGGTGCCACGGCTAGAGGCTAGTGCACCTGCGTACGGATTGCACCTGAAAGCTTGGAGCACGTGAGCCCCGGGCTCTTCACAGCTGCACAAACCTTCGGCCTTCAGTTACCCGTGGTCAATGGCAACACAAAATAGTCCACCTGCGTCGCTTTGAAATTATCACTGATCTTTTTTCAACATGGAAATGTGTCAGGAGGTTCAATGCACTTATTAAAATTAAGAGATGTGTCCCTATCATCTGATAAAATGAAAAAAATATCAAACTGGGGGGAGGTGGGTACTGAATAAAAAAACAATAAAAATACTGGTGTACCGTTTAAACGATAGTAAACATTCTCAGCTTTCTGAGCTATGTAATCTCTGTTGCACCCATTCTTTTCTGTTGTAACACAAAATTTGAACATAGTTGTGTTATCATTTCATTTACCAAAAAATAGGCAAAAGGCTGGATTTGGAAGGTGGACCAATAATTTTATTTGTCTATAGCTTAATGGCTTAAAAAACTCAAATTTGAATGTGTTGTTTATTTTTGTGTTTTCTTTTTTTAGAGAAGAGCAGCCAATTTGAGAATAATTTAAATAAAACAAAATAAAAATCACCCTATTGTGCATGTGTGGGGAGAGACAGCGGTGAAAACATTTGTGTCTGCCTGAGCCTCACACTGTTATAAAATGGTTTCACAGTAGACACAAGTCCAGCATTCGTGTTCATACTTTGTTTAACCTGGCTACTCTTTTCAAACCATGTTTCAACACGTGTATGTTTCTGTCTTCCCGCCCTGAAGCTGGAGGAGGGAACCCTTGATCTGAAGTACCTCAGTTTCTCCAGGGCCCAGCACAGTATCAGATGTACAGTAAGGACTCAGTTCTCATTTGTCAACCACTGAACACAGGAGGAACAATTGGGCCAACTGAAATTACGAGGTATTCGGTCTCAGTTTGTTCCAAAGACTGACACAAGGGCCATCAACTACATAATTTTTCAAATAGCTATACGATGGCTTATGCTCTAGGTAACAAAGCCATTTTGGTACCTCTTCAAAGAATTTCTGGAATTTTCTCTCCTTTTTTACCTCTTTGCTACATAATCTGATGCTTTACCCTGGAAGGATCCCACTGTCTTAGTGCTCTTTGCTCTTACCTCTAAGAGCAACCTCGCCCAGCCCTGGCTCTCAGGACTCACAGCGACAGACACTCTCTACCCCAGGAAACGCGAAAGGAGAGTTTGGCAAGTGAAACAAAACTGAACTCAAAACAGCAACCCTCTGCCTGACTCTCAGAGCCCGGGACTTTCAGAGACCCTGGAATTTTGAATTAGGATTTTAATGACTTCAAGCCAGGCATGGTTGAGCACACCTGTGATTACAGCACTTTGGGAGACTGAGGCAGTTGGAGCCCAAATAGAGTAATTTAGGAAGACTTGGTCTCAAAAAATTAGTAATCAATGGCTAAGTATTTTGTTTGGTGCAAAAGTCTTGGGTTCAATCCCAGTATCACAAAAGCAAGAAAGAAATTAATGTCTTTAATTGGGGTGCATCTTCTTCCCCGCATAGGATTGTAACATTTGTTAGCTCCATTTTTAAATTTAAAATTTTTATTAGTATATGTTTGCAGTACATACTGATCACATTCACTGTGGGCAATTGTACATATGCATAACACATCATAATTCTTTTTGCTCATCCCCTTCCTCTCCTTCTCCCACCCCTCATCTATCCATCTCTGGGTCACTTTTCCTTTTGCAAAATATCTAGCTCCTTGTTTCCTATGATTTTTAAATTTTGCTCTTTAATTTATTTATATTTTGGGTTTCTCATATAAACTATGTGACATTTAAGCTTGTATGTCTGATTTAATTAACTGCACCTTGAGACCATGATGCTAAGACTGTAACGTTTAACAAATACAAATAAAGGAGGACTAAATTTGAATTCTAAGTAAATAATGCATGGACATACACATACTAAAACATTATACTTTTTAAAAAAAATCTGAAATCTATTTTTTTTTATTTTATTCTTTAGTTTTCTGAGACAGGGTCTCTCCATGTAGTTCAGGCTGGCCTTGAACTCATTGTTCAAGGCTGGCCTCAAACTTGGAGAATCCTGCCTCAGCCTTCTGAGTGCTGGGATTACAGGAGTGCGCCCCCACCCCTGGCTGAAATCTAAATTGAACTAGGCCTCTCATATTTTATATGGCAACCCCGATCCTGGAGGATAACATGAGTTAGAAGAAAACAGCTCTAAGTCACCTGAAGTCAATACAAAAAACAAGCAAAAATACAATTCTCAGTTAAAAAAAAAAGGAGAAACAGCCTGGCTAGGACACACTGGAGCAGAACAATGACCACACCAGAGCAGTATGAGCTCTCTCAGCAACTGCGAGCTTGGCCCGGCTCCCCAGGTCACTTTTCAATGTCAGAGGCACATTACTGCCTCCCTTCTTGTTGCTGTAGGGTAACCAGTCTGTCCACCCATCCACTTGCCCACCGTCTCTCATTTATGACGTGTCATCTGTTAGTGCATCTTGAAATCTAGTGTTTGGAGGGGGCCCTGAAACCAAGCCACTAGCATCTGAATTCTAGGCCTCTGCCCAGCCAGCTCTGCTACCTGGGACACAGCTCTGACATCCCAGCCTCAGGTCTCCGTACATAAAATAGAAATAATAACTATAAACACTGTTGCCAGTTACTATCAGGGCTTGTCTTCCTATGGCGATGACAGACTTCCCAGGTCTCCTGGCTCCCCCACCCGTATCCGACCACATCGTTCCCTCCTGCCTACATTATTGCCTGGTACAGGGAGGCCAGCTGATATTCTCTTGCTGAGTAACTCAAACCACTTCAGGGACACTGTCTGTCCCGCTCTTCTGAACCGCTGTGCCCTGGGCCTGCCATCATTCATAACTTCTTCATCCCCACATCCTCAACTTAGATATCTTGTCACCTACCTTACCATCTCCTTCTTGCTATTCAGTGTCCTGCACTGTCCTGCAGTTGAACCCAGGGTCTAGTTCCCTGCTCCACCCCACCCTTTCTCTTCATAGAAACTTACGTCTAGGTTTTGAAAGGCAATGAATCAGGAGTTTCAAATTCTACACCTGATTTCCCAGTTGTCATGCTGAACTTCTGGTATCACCTCTTCACCTTCACTTCATAAAAACAAACCTGTATCTCTTGCTTCTTAGTCTGAAGAACACTTTGAAAACCATGAAAAGAAGAACCAAGGATATCACTATTTGTTCATTAGACTACTAAGACATATTTTCTGGCACAGTTCGTACTATTCCTGTCAGTTGGTAAGAATACGTAGGGAAACCCCAGGTGACACAGATGGAGGATATCCCACCGCATCGCACCTATATTTAAGTACCCCAGACTCACAGTTTCTAAACTTTCAGATATAGCATGTGATTATCGCTCTACAAAAAGTCTTCACTGTGTGTGATTTGTATCACTAGAGCTTTGAGGCTCTACAACTGACCCTAAGTACTGAGGACAAAGGGCAGAGGCCGATCTGGTTTGCTCTGTGAGCTCCGTCAAGTATTGTAGCTTACACTCTCATTGTGGAATTGTGATGCTTGATCTGCACAGCCCACTTAGCACAGGGCCCAAAGGGGTTTCCTTCCCCAAGGGGCACGGAATAATTACACTCCGGCAGAGGGCTTGGGAAATCATAGGAGATGGCAACAGAGAGGCTTTTCCCTTGAATCATGTAAACACATATGTTAAATACCAGGTAGGAAGGCACGAGTGACAGACGGGAGCAGGTAGTGATCAAATGCCCTGAAAGAGAAATGAGAGGTCAATACCTGGGGGGCCACTGCGGGAAGCTGTTTGGAGACTCTCACACCTGAATGAAGACCCTTCTTTTCTTAAAATCAACGTTTCAATTGGTAAATGTTTTTGAAGTATTAAATATTTATACTAAGAAATGAAACTTAAATAAAAAGCCATAATGGATGTGGCCATTGAGTTCAACTCACTTTGCTGACAGGAAGCATCTGAATTCTGTATCTACGGCTTATCTTATGCCCCTAGCTGGAGAAAACAATGAACGGATTTATCCAACAGTCGTCAGTGATTGTAGAGTCATATATTTTGAACTTTACAGACTTTATACCATTTAATAAATGGAAATTGTGAGAGTGAACCTCAGGGTGTCAGCATCCAGAATCCATGCTTTCAGTCAGTGATTTACGCTGCCTTTGCAAGGTCCTAGTGCAGGAATGCTGTGGAATAATTGTGGATATGCCCACAGATTGACTATGATCCTTGAGTTTAAAGGCTTATCCTCCAAGTCACTACGGCTGGTCACATAGCTATTTCTAGTCAGAACACCGTATTCATTCTAACAGGAAAATAGTTCTTACCTGTGCTGCTGGGGGAGGACAGTAGTACTGATAATCTAAAACACTACCTAAATCACCTGTTGGATGATTACACTGCATTAAATTATAAGATAGTTTGGTAGGTAATTGTGTGTCACTTACATACTTTTAATAACCCAAAGTTCTTTGAGCATATTTTTTTTTTTGGGAATTAACAATGCTTATTGTATTACATATTGATATCTTCAATGTAGTTTCTCATGAAAACACATATAGACATACAAAGCTAATCAACCAATGACTCACTGACAGTTTCTTTCAGCATCTTTGAGCATATTTACAGTAAGGCAAAGGTGGTAGAGAGAGTGCGAGAAGGTTAATCAGGATTTAAATTGCCCCTTGAATAGGAATGACCAGGATTCTGATGGTAGGAATAACTAAGTCACACTGTCTTAAGGTAGAAATCCATAGCAACCCTTACTTCATAGGCCGGAAGAACACTGAGCTTACCTGATTTTATCATTCACATCTTTTGCCCAAATGGAAAGGTGCTGCTTTTTATATAGCGTGTGCGGGCTCTATAAAAGCTAGGTACACTGAAAGAATCCAATTATCTGTCAGAAGAGAATTGCCCTTCATACAGTTAAATCACACGTGGATTACACACAAAAAAGAGGGTAACTTGAAAAGGTTAAAGAAGCCAAACATTCTCCTAGTATCCTTCTTTTAGGGAAAAATCTCAAGCAAGAACATATTCCACCTGAGTGTACTATTTGGGCGGAGGGGACGGCATGTCCCCGTGACTGGATACGCATCGAACCTCTGTTGTTTAGAACCACCCAGCATCTATTTTCTACGTTTGAGAAACATCATTTCCATCTCCCTTTAACGAACTATCCCTCCATATGAGTGTAGGCTTAGTGTAATCAAGGTGCCCCGGTTGTGCGACCCAAATTGATCAGACACTTCCCAAAGAATCTGGATACTAAGCACGGTGAGACATGAAACAACTAATTTCTTCCCACAAATGCACACGGAAAATACCTTCCAAAGTTCCTGAAGTCTGGACTGTCTCTTCTTTTTACCAAGGCTTAATCCTTTAGTGTTTCCTGGGCTCAAGAGATCTAACCTGTGTCCTGCTAATTAGCTCCCTTATGTTTGCTCAAATCAGCATTTGTCTCTGTGGCTTCCAACCAAGGGATCCTACTGCGAACCTATGAAAGCCAAAAATATCAGACAAGTTTGGGTCAAGGGGCCTAGACTGTACTTTCTAAAAAATCTTCAGCTGTTAGACTCAGCTAAGGCTGGGACTCGTTATCAGATGATAAAGCTGAGGTGAAAGGAGTTTGTCAAGGCATAGAGTTAGGAGCCAGGCCTTCTAAGACTTGCCAGCATATCACAGAAGTCATGACACACTCTTCCCTGGTTGGTTTGCTGTGGCACACAGGCAGGCAACTGATTGATGCAAAATGCTACGTCAGAGACCCCTTTAGTCAATGAATCAACGAGTATTTATTGCAAGGCACTGTGCTAGGCATTACGGAGAGTACATGGAAGAGAAGACCAATGTCCCTGCCCTCAAGGAGCTTACAATCTAGTCGGGGAGACAAGGCATACATACAAGGAAAAGTAGATAACAATACAGGAGTTAAGTTAAAATGCAAGATAACAGTACAAAAGATTTCCAAAAGTAGTACCTGATTAATTACTAAGTGGAGGATTGCAGCGAATTCAAAGGGGCATCACAAAGGACTGATGTAGGGAAAGACTTCATAGATGAGCTGGGGCTGGGGCTACCCTAGGCAGCAGACATTGGGTGTGGGAGGTGGTTGGGGGACATTTCAAGAAGGGGCAGCCAGGAGACCGAAAGGCACAGAGGTGAAACCAAAAGCAAGCAGTGTTCAGGGACTAGAGAGGGCTCGCTGTGACTGGATGCTGAGTTAAATTGTTTTAGATTAAGAAGGGCTTTCTGTGCTCGAGCTTAGCTTTTATCATTTTGGCAAGGGGAAGAGGTAGGGAAACTGACAGATATATTTAAATAAAATATACAAAAGCCTTGGCTAATCCAAAGAAAATATTCAAGTCTGATCTTGAGGACATTTACTCATGGATTTTGACTCTCCCTATTTTCAAAGAGAGTTTGAAACGGTGTCTTTAGGGTTGTCACTTCCAAAGGGATAGCTCTGGGTCATCTAACTTTGGGTCATGGCCAGAGACTTTTCAGTCCCCCTATGATCCCAAATTATGACCAGCACAAGAGTGAGCTGACATATTCCCTGACAGGCAGGCAGTAAAAATGCTCCCAGAAGACAAATATCTTTATAAATGACAGAATATTTATTAACAATACCTTTAAAAAAAGATTACATATGCTAGATCACTGGTAAATATCATTTACACTGGGGTTGGGAACTACTTAGGATATCATTTTTTTTTCATTCATTTTCTTGTTTTTTTTTATTTTTTTTGTGTGCGATTTTAAATTTTACTTTAACATAGAAGTAACCATATCAAACTAAGCAAGGAACACAGCTTGAAATACTGACAATATTTTTTTTTTGTTGTGGTATTGTCCTAATTTTTACACAAGTGGAATCCTGATTATGACTTTATTGGATAAATATAATTAGAAGTTTGAAAAGTTAACTTACGTTATTTGTAAGCAAAAATGACAAGTTACAGGCAAACTTGAGCTCTTTGAAAAAGAGCAACATCTTGTGTACATGTGAATTTTTTATAGAAAATTGCTTTGCCTTTTAGATTACTACTCCACCAGGGTCAGCTTACAAAACCTCCCCCATCCTAACAAACAGTTCTTTTCATAAGAACACGGTTTTGTTGATATTGTCATTTTCCAGTGCGTAATTTTAAGACTTAGAAGGTAAAGCTTATAAAGCAACTAGTTTAGCTATTGTAAAACAAGAGAATCGTCAAGATACCATACAATTTTACTAAAGATCTTTTATAGAATCATATGAAAAATTCTTTGCAGCAACTATTTGTTGAAATAGGAGAAATCTTCCAAACTTCATAAGCCATTGTGATTCAAAAGAAGGGTTCTATTATTACAGAGGTACACATATTATATATAAGAAATTTTGTAAAGAAGTTGTGAGTTCATTGACAGAGAATTATTTTTGTTTGTAAATTTACATTCAAAACATAAATTTATAGGTAATAAAATTATCTTTTATCCTTTGAAAGACTTGGTTGACTATAGCAACTTTCAGTCTATGTTACTACAGGATATGTAATTTCAAATTTAATGTCTAAGATAATGCTATTACAAAGACAATGCTAACTTAGTTGAGTGAAAGGAAAGTCTTACCACACAATGCTAAATTCAGGGATGGAAATATTGCACAAGTGCCTCTTGGGCAGTAAGGGTAGGTTTTTGAGATTTGCAGCCATTCCTGAAACCATCTCAAGTCGTGTTGAATAACAAAATACACAACAGGGTGGGAAAACATATTGTACATGTCTAAAGGACTTGATTCAACACTTCAACCATTCAAAGAGTAATTTATATACAGCAGCCTTGAGTTAGAGAGCAAGTCTCCAGCTGTTCTGCCACTAGATCCTTGTAAAACTGTACAAGTGATTTGCAATTTCTTCACCAAGATGAGTTTCAAATTCTGTCTTTAAAGGAAATATTCTCAAATCATAATTGTATGGTCATGTTGGCCATAGCATTTTACAGCAGAGGAAAAAAATTAATATCTACATTATATGTTAACTTTAAAAATTCTATAAAACACTAAATATATAATAAAAAATATGCATATAAGGACTTATGTAAACTGCTTTGGTAACATCGTATTACAGATGTCTTCAGTGCACTGAAGAGTTTCCAAAGAAACTTCAGACAAAGCTAGGTTTGCTTTGAGGAAGTACTGTGTACTGCCATTCCTAAAGAAGCAAAAAACGTTTTTCCAGTAATAAGATGTACTTGAACAACAATATTACTTAGTACTGGGTGTCTTCAAAACAGCTAGCTAAATGTTGCTTATATTATAAACAGCAAGTCCTTTAGATAACTTTTGTCATAAACTAGACCTGGCTGTGAGGGAAATCATTATGGTGCTAATGGCTGACAGTGTACATGCATTCGAGGTGGAAGCTCCGGATCCTCTTGCGTAGGAATCTGAAAAGAGAGAACAAATTCACTCAGAATGACGTCACCTTAACTACAAAGGGAAAAGAAGTTAAGGAGCTCTCTGAAACAGCGGAGCAGACTGGGTTCTGCTATAAATGATTAGCTCTTGACATCTCCTCAGTGTCAGCTCTGTGACTACTTAGCTATGAACCTTAAACAGGTTATAGCACAGCTCTATTTCTCTGCTTAAGCTTTTTTTCTTTTTATTTTATTGGTATATTTTAGATACAATGTGATAACATTATCATAGGGAGTTTGCACCTGTACATGGTATGTCTTGCTTCATTTTTCTCCCATTCCCTTCCCCTCCCTTCAACACCTCTTCCCCTTTTTATTTACAAAAACTTTGTTTCCATTTTTTTCCTTCTATTCTT